GTACAAATTGGATTTTCTCGTTTTTGACCCTAAAAACATTAAGTTTGAGGAATTATTCCAAACCATTTTGTAGTGCTTCAATAACAAATAAAATAGTATTTTGAAGTGTTGTTATGTGCCTAATGATAGGGAGATAATAAAAAAAAACTGTAAATTTGGTATTTCTATGTTTTATTACTGATTACTATGTGATTACTTATGGAGAATAAGTTCAAACTGTAGTAATTTGCTTGTTTATGAACATATTTTGAAAATTTGGAAGGTATATTTACTAAACTATAACATCGCACAAAAAAAGAACACAATCCCCTGTAGCAGCAAACCTATGTACTCGCTAAACTAATGTTATTTAAATAGGAATGACATTTTGAAGAAGATATTTTACTGAAAATCAAATCAGGCAAATGGAAATTCACTTAATTTGCAGGTTTGCTGCGGTGGTGCTATTTTTTAAATAGATTTTATATTTTGACTTTGTTCCTATCTCGCTTTACCTCTTCAAAATATCTTTCCCTTAATTTTGTTAGGTTTTTTTTTCTCTAATTTAAACTACAAACCTTAAAAATGTAATGATATTTGTTTTGCTTAGTATTTTCAAACCACTACACATTATAGTATAATTACAAATAATTCTCCCCCTAGTTCCTTGTTTTGATCATTCTAATTATTTTAAAGTTTGTAGTGTTAGTTATATAGTTTTAGTATGTTTAATAATAAACTTGATATCATAAAAATAAACGTGATTGATCTGTAAAAGATTACGCTGATGAAAATTAATGACATTTGTCAAATATGCCAATGTTATAACTACGCCAAATCGAAAGAACTATTTATTGTAAACCATGTCTTATTTTATGTCACATAAACTATCTTTGTTAAAAAAAATAAGCGTGGAACGGCATTTCAACTGTAGCACATTCTTTGTGGGTGACTCATTCAACTAAGTTTCTTATTGTAAAAAAATAGGTAATAACTGGTTTGTAGATGTGGTGTCTTCTTGGGTATCCAAAGATGTTTGGTAGTTGGCTAGATACTGTTTAAATAAATCTTGGCAGGAAAAGGTTGGCAAGATCCAAGTTAATAAAACGCTATCAGCAAACTGACACATACTTTCTCCCATAAGCTTGTAAACAACCTTTATCATGGGTTAGCGTTGGGTGTAACTATGATATTATATAGGGATAAATCACAACAGTTTCAACAACTTTTGAACCGTTTTTTTACAGTAATTGCAGTTGCACTATTTTTGTTTAGAATTATAAGTACCATAACACATTAATTTTTATCAAAACCGGGTTTTTCCTATAATACATAAATTTTGTTTTTATGTCGTTTTTATAAGAAAATAACACAAGTTATAATAACTTTGGAGCCGTATTCTTTTTACGGAAATGGAAGTTGTACCATTTTGTTCAGAATATACAGTAATATAACACAAGTTACTAAATTTTTATCAAAATCGTTCAGGCCGATTTTCCCGTTATTTTATGTTTTTTATGGGAAAATCCATTTAAAAAATATGAAAAATAAAAAACTACTGGAGATATAATGGATTAGTACCTATGTACCAAATTTCATCAACATCGGACGACAGTTGTGGTCTATAGCTCAGTACACATCCACACATCCACACACACGCACACAGACATGACTTTTTCGGGTTCAGGGGGACCCAAAACGGATACATCCACTCAAAACTCAAAAAAATTTGACAAAAACAATACTTTCCCCATATACTATGTATAGCCCCCTATACATACATACATACATCCCCCGGGGGGGAGATTGTAAAAATGACTGACGTTTAAAACTACTTAATAACAATGGTATTGTTTTAAAATTGAAGGAGAAAATTCATTTGGCATATTATTTTTTTACTGCATGATAGCGAGTATTTTAGTAAGATGCTAAAATAGAGCTGCGTTGTGTAAAAATAGTGAAAGTAAGATCCAAGGCTAATATACACAAAATAAAGTTAATTTCGAAAATATTGAACTAGCTTTTTCTTATTTCTTGCGAAATTCTAAGTATTGGATAAATACAATCTTTTACATAGCACACTATGTGAATGGGTAATTTCAATGTTTTATAATTAATTGAATAAAACGTTTGCTCCAATTGGTCCATGTAGATGGGATGGCCTTCTTTAGTATCCAAGAGTCAATTTCGGAATGGAGTAGACGATTGATTTATCATACTTATTATTATTCTTTTATTTATGTTATTTATGTATGTTTTTACGCCAGAGGCATTTTTCATTTTGAGAGGGAATGGTCCAAACCCTGGTCTTGTTACTATCCAACGTCTTGTTTCATAGATATTATCATTTTATTCATAGCCAATGACAAATGACATCTAGATCTGGAAAAAATCTCGCTTGGAATCAATCCAGCGATCTTCAGATTTGAAGGCGAGCACTATAATCACTCGGCTACCCAGACAATACATATTATATTTTTGATTACGACCATCTTTTTTCCATCCAGGATTATTTTTATTCTAGGTCCAATGATCAAGAACAGCTAGGACCAACCAGTTCCCAGCCACTAAACAAAACCCCAACTGATTTTCTCACATAATAAATAGAGGGACAGTTTCCCTTTAAATTATGGGGGTTTTCGTGATCAAACTGGTGGTTTTAATCATCTGGCATTTTGAACAGCATACGCTTAAGTCTTTGTAATTAATGAAGAATTAGTATGTTAGGGTTGGTTACAATTATTTGTGAAGCAGGCCTTCATTGGAACTAATTAATTCACTATTTATTATTTTAACCAATATTTTCATGTTATATTTATTTTTAAATTGAAATGCAAAAATAGGGCGCTGTCTGTTCTACTGGTCCTATTTGATTAAAACGTTGACCAAAGACAGTCTGTAAACTCAGAATTGTCATTGGCATATTATTACTTATTTACATATTAATTTATGGATTTGTCAAAGCCCAAAACGTATATAGATAGCAGAAAACATTTAATCGATTACTTCGTATGGGAGCAATGGTAAAATATGAAATTAGAATATTTTACAATTTGAAATAATTTTACCCTACAAGCTGATAAAAATGTAAATTTTAACAACTTGAAGCATTTATCTATTTACCTTGTAATACCATTGATCAAAGACTTTGTAAAGATTTTTTTATGGTTATATTAATACTATGTTTATATCGTTGATTCTTTTTTCATAGTTTAAATTTAGTGCAAAAGCTCATTTGGTTGAGAGGTAGGAGGTTTGGTTGGATTGGGGTAGTACAACTGCTGAGAGGTACCCACCTGGAGAACATGTGTTGATTTTGGACTTTTTGTTAAGGCCAACGACCCCATTCCTCAACAGCTTTCCTAAACTGCTTACTGATAACTGACAGTAGTGCGGAATGTCAGATTTTGAATTATATAGTCAATTACTGCCCTTTCGTGGCATTGACAACTTCCAAGTCTTAAGAGCAATGCGAACTATTCTTCAATGAATTAGATTCTTGCGTGAAGCAATTGCATTTTTCTATTATTTTGTATTTTATTTTATGATGAATAAACCCAAGTATTTTACTGAAGTATTTTACATTTTCATTTTCTTTGGGGGTTCATACGAAGTCAAAGGAATATTACGATGTATGTGATTTCAACGCCTGCAAGTTTTAGTTGCAAGAGCCTCACATGCACGTACAGGAATTGCGTTGTGCTATTTGGAGGCGTCCACAGCCCGCTATTTATTTCACTAACCGTCGATGTATATTTCACAACATGCGATTAATTATTTGGTGAAAGTGTTTTTTATTCTGAGAGCCTAACAGTTGGTTGACCAATTACTTTTTCGCCAGAGTACATAGCTGCCTTCTTGATTTGACAATAAAGCGAACTCTCGTGTTTTCTAGTTAATTTAAAGACAATCATGAGTGATATGTCATGACGACATAATTTGTCGACCAACTGTTGGCCCCCTCTTATAATTCTACAATACTTCTTCCACTGAGTAGACCAATAGCATACTATGTAATAAACCTTTCAGAATTACTTGTTTATAAAACCATCATCCTAGCAAGAAAACTTTGAGTGGACTGATAGCTGTTAATTTAATTTTTGTACAATTTAATTATTGTAAAATTACAAGTTATTCACAAAAAAATCAACAGTAGAGTAATTCGTAGTATCTCTCTTATTGGAGTATCCAAAAATTTCTTGATCTCACTGCAAACCACTCCTCGTCATTGTAACTAAGATATCTTTGTTTGTTATATGACAGTTAATTTTCAAACACTTTACCAATTTTTATTAAATAGATGGAATACAATCGTTCGTGAAAATGTTTCCTTCCAGAAATATAGATGGTTCCTTGTAGTTTGGTTATTTGAAATTAAGGGTTATATGTATGATAAACCCATAACTATTTTTGACTTATTTCTTATATAATAAGTCATAATTAGTCTTATTTTTGACTTTTCTCAAAACTATTAACACACATGAAAAAAGTTATAACAAAAGAAATCAACAGAACAAACAACTAAAAATATTGCAAAACATCTACAATCCCACCCACATTATTAAAACGATTCTTGGTCTTGTTAGATGCATGTTTGTTGTATACATAAACTAAACTTTTTTGTTTACTTTAATTTTGACTATGTATTAGACAAGCCAAACAACTACCAATGATTTAAATAAATTTACCTGCATTTTTACGCCAATAGTATTTTGTTTAACAAAATCAGCAACAAAGAGTTTACTGTCCAAATCTTCAAAAGTGAAAAATCTGGTCATAATCTATTTGAGTAGATATAGTATTTTTTTTTAAATACATAAATATTATTAATTAAATACGACTTCCTTAATTAATATTTTCAAAACAAACATTAATCTGCACTGACTTAACACATTTAACAACTAAAAGGTCAATCAAATACTTCCCTAAATGAGTTGTTTTACCATAGAATAGATGTGTTTACTAACTAACCACAGGGAGTAGGGTTGAAATCACACTCAGTTTTAAGTACATGTGATAATTTATTGAAATGTTTCACATCTAAACGGATACAGACTGAACATGAACTCTACTTACACCAACATAACTGATACAATGTTTATCGACAGTGTTGCAAACCGCAAATTACAAAAATATCGTGGCATAGCGTGAAATAGTCGTACTTCGTTGTTGTTTGGAGCTGGTATGGGTGATGGAGCTTGGTAGCGTGCCTTTGGGAAATTGAAAGTTTCTAAAAAAGTTTCTAAATTTTATTGTTTCCTTGCAGAAGAATATTAAAAATAATTTTTAATTCATAGAAACTTACAGTTAAATTTTATTATTGATTACAGTGATTGCAAACTGTATTAGTTCTTGTAATGTGTAAATATTTGGCATACTCAATGATGGAAGTACATCTAAATTAGTTAATGTAATTGTACAATATTTTCCTATTTCAATTTCCCCAAACCCGTGAAATTCTCGTTTCTCTATTCCTTCGCCAAGTTTGATTTTGATTCGAATAGTAAAGCTAAACTCTATAACAAAATTAATTACAATAGAATACAAAATACACTTGAAATACTATATTCGCTGTTGATCGTCTATATACATTAGTTATAATATACATCTTATCGATAAAATATTACAAATATGCCGCAGGTATTGCACTTAGAAAAGTATTAGTTAACTTAGTTAACTCAGCTCGCGGTGCGCAGAGTTAGTTGGAGATCTTTGTCCCGGATTGTTGATAAAGTCTGTTTTCGTTGCAATGAATCATTGTGGAAAATGGTGTTGCTTTCTGACAAAACAATTCTAGGCACACGATTCGTATGACGATAGTTTATTGTAGAAACACAAATAAAATCAAAAACACAAAAGAAATACTTCCTGGAAATGTAATTCCAAATGAACTTTGACATCATTTTATACAAGCGCCAATCAAAATCAAAACGGAAATTCTTCTTCAATTGTCTATGACCGCATTGAGCGCAAATTTAAAACAAAACAGAAACGCTTCTTCAAAATGTAACATAAGATAAAGTATATGCGAAAATCAAACTAAAATGCTCAATCTTAAATAAACAGTCTTATAAAAACCACACATAACAAAACAAAACTTTACACAACAAAGCTGGGCACCGGAACAATCACGTGTCTTACATCTAACAAGTGTCTCTATCACTTTTCACCGGGTAATGACAATGTCCACACTCTCTATGACGCGGAGCTCTAGTCCTGTCTTCTGGGGGGCTCCGGACGGTCCCCTGGTCAGAACAACGAGCTGGAGGTGTCCGAGGAGGCGAGTTCTGGAGGTGGAAGGTGGTGAAGACTGTTGGCGTTAGCGTCCAGAGGGTTTTGAAGCCGCGACCTCATGATCTGGTTGTTGACTAACATCAGAGCGTCTGCCGATAGGCTGAGTAGCTTGGCACTGTGCTCTTGCGCCTGGAAAAACACCAGGGTCAGTGAAGAGGTTTGTAAAAGTTACAAATTTGGAAAGGAGAAGGTTATTGAAGAGTTTCGGAATACAAAGTAAGTATGATAGGATAGAAAAACGGTTTAAAATGTAATTTGGAAATGCAGTGTACTATAAGGTTTTTAAAGAGGTATAGCCGATAACATGTTTTATATAGGGAAGTCATAAGAATTTATTCTGATTTATATATTATGGAGAGTAATCGGAGGGGTTTAAATTATACAAAGAAGAATATTACTATTAATTGTTAAAAAAATTAATTTAATCGATTGTAGAGAAGAAAGTTAAAAGTGATACGTATTAACTATGGAGAGTTTATCAAACGGGAAATGAAAGTCGCAAATAGTTAGTGTACAGTAATAGAATATAAATAAATATTTTTTTAATGAATATATAGATTTGGCACAGGGAGATTAACATTTTTTACACATTTTTAGGTATTCCAAACCACAGACATAGTCGATAACATTTTCACTAACTTAAACATTTGTTTGAACAAAATTCTGAACTTTAGAAAACACAACTCACCTTTGCCCTCAGGCAGGCTATGCTGTTGTTCCTGAACTCCTCGGGGTCCGTTCTAGACATGGGTTGTTGTTGTTGTGAGGGGTTGTGCTGGTGAGGGGGCCCTAGATGGTCCTCTGGCCCAGGGCCCTTGTCTGTCAGGTGGGGCCCCAGTTGAGGTGTGTGGGGCCCGGAGAGGTCGCTCTTGGACGACGCAGACTCCAGTCCACCGTGGTCGTTGTCATCGTCCTCCTTATCACTTCTGGTCACCTCGTTGTCATCCTTCAGATGTTCCGCTGCCTCGATAGACTTGCGGTGCATACCTGAAGCAAGAGAGGATGTAAGATTAAGAACTAGAATGAAAGTCCTGGACCTTTTGAATATAAGAAGTCCAAGCAAGTGTTGAAGTGTCTGCTTTGATACTTCTGAGGTAGGAAACTAAAAGTGAAGTTTGCAAAACTTTTGTAGTCTTACTTTTCAACAACTGATGTATGTAAAATGCAAACGCATAAAAAGTTTTAAAATACATAATAAACTCACATGAAAAGTGAGTTGGTCAGTCTGCCAGTGCATTACTGTGGGCAGCCGTTCAAAGTGTGGACGTTAATTTCAACTTTAAAAATTAAAATTATCTTACAACAAGTGTTTTAGAATTCGAAAGATTTTTGATAAACCGAATTCACACTCATGCAAAGAAAGCCAACAAAGATAATTTTGTACGTAGATAATTTAAAATAAAAATATATACATTAACCATACTAGTAAGTTTTAAGACATATCTCTCTTTACATTCACCAATGTTCCCGTGTAACGTCGAAACTTTCCTTTACCATTTTCATCCAATCGGCGCGACGACATTATCAGGTTATCACGACCGTATCTGTTTATTGCAAAACAATCTCGCGACTTTGTAGTGGGGATGTCTCCGTTTATTGACCACCCCCGGGGCCAACCCACCCCCGGGGGCGGTGGAGGGGGGAAAACAAAGCCCGGGCCGCGCCACCCCTACTTATAACAACGCAGGGCGCGCCACATTGGGAGTTAACATTTTCTGGATTGTTTGTGGCCACGATACCTTAATTGTCCCCAACCCCGAGTAGAGATACCTAGACGTTTCTTGCAATTAATACTAATGATATTGCCACATTTGCTCTTTTGCTGTCATTTTTCAGGTTTCGATTTTTGTTATGGTGCGGATGCGAAAAGGGTTTAACGACTCTATGGGGTGAAAGAGGTGAAAAAATGTAATTGTATACGGTTCGGTTGAATAACGATGGAAACGGATGACGAGTTTTAGTTAATTGGGCAGAGAAAATCGCATCCGCCTATTTACAATATCAAAATTTATAATTTTATAATTCTCATGATATTATTTTAAGAGTGACTCTTGCTTATACATGCTTTCATACATAATCGTTCTCAATTTAATTTATTTAATATCTCAATCAAAAATATCCTTTTTTCCGTGCAAATGAATAATGCATATAAAAGTATTGGAAAGTTGTTAAGTGCTGTGGTTTTGTTTATAACTATTATGTAAACCTATACAATATTAACATAAAAATCGAATGTTTGCAAATTCTATTGTATTGCTAGATATAGTAAAGATAACTCTTCTAGTTAGGAAACATTTTAAAGTTTTTTTATTTAGGTCTAACGAACATGTACCACCCTATCTACTTATTCAACTATATTTATTGTTTTTTTGGTTTTTTACTTGAAATGCTCATACGGTCTATATCCGATCTTGAAAAGTTTGTAAGACAATTTATTTCCTCTGGAATGTTGTTTTACTTAAACATTTCGCTCGTACGGTTTGGAGCAAAGGCAAATAGTAAAAATACACAAATTATATCACGCCGTGTGAAAAGTTCCCATTCCCTATAACTGAAGTAAAAGAAAATTACCTTTAGTCAAGTTCCCAATTCATGGAAGACCAAAACCTAACCCTAACCCTATATGAACCCGTGAAACAAAGTTTATTTAATAATTTTAATAACATTAATAAATCCATTTTCTTCGTTCATGGAGTTCAGCTGACACATATATGCACGATTCTTTATAATAAGGTAATTGAGTGATCGTGAAGGCCTTGCCAAACAATATATTTTACAAGTCTCATTTCGAGGCGTGGCTTCGAAAGACACTGTTTCAAAAGACACTACTCTACTAAGTCACTAACCCCTAGAGCGTCAAGTTTCCGAACAATCTATACTTTTCCCGGTAGTAAAAACATTTTCTCTGCCGGACTGGACTATAAATTATGGATTAATTTAAATATCACGCGACTTATAATACTTACTACCTAGCTGGGCCGTACCTAGTAGCCAGGGCGCGACACACTCGTTCTCCTTGGCACTCTTGAGGATGGTCTCCGGCAGAGGCAGTGAGTGCCTGACCATCGCTCCGTAGAGGCCGTACTCCGCCATGATGGTGGATCTGCCCCAGCACTTTTCAGTCTTCCGCCACTTGGCTCTTCGGTTCTGGAACCACACCTGAAACAGAGGTGGGAATTACAAAATGTTAAAAAGGAACACGAGTGAAGAATACTTAGATCATATCGTGTAGGTGTAAGTTGAAGATGACCACGGGCAGGACAACATGTGAGTCACCTGAAATGACAATTTGGGGGAAGACATGGGAGAGTCAAGAGACGAGGCGAAACCTCAATCTAACTTCTCAAATTCAACGTTAAAGGGAAAAGTGTCTGAAACTATCACACTGGAGTAAAGAATTTGGTGTAAATATTAAAACAATTAAGAGTGCTTGCATGATTTTGAATCAAGGGAAATACTAAGAAACTAAAGGAGTTATAAAGCAGTTATCTGAAACTAGATTCGTATCTAATTGTAATTAAGATAATTAGCATGTGCATAATAAAACCCCCGTAGAACAGAAAGTATTTATATAGACCATTTTTATGAAATAGGGGGAAATCGTATTTGGTATGTGGAGTACACCCTGAACACGCGTTGATTTTACAGTAGAACTCTTGATGATGCAGTCTGTAAAGAAGAAGAAGAGATGTAGACTTTAAACGATGATGATGTCATACAACTTAACCTACTTTTACCTATGAATGGTGTATACATTTGTTTAGTATCAAAGTTATTTTGTGGTTATCAGCAAATCATTTTCCAAATGTTCACAACGTCTCCAGGAATGCTACTCCCCAACATACACGCATTTGAAAAACTATCTTAAAATTGTCATTTCTGATATCGTAATTATCCTAATTATGTCCAAAATAAACCGCTACGTCATCCTAACAGTATCGAATGACACACTTATGCTGACCACAGCCCCAGGCCAGTGGAGCGAGACGCACACCGCCGCTAACCCCGGATTACCAGCGGGGCGCCTGTTATTGCAGACCGCGCCGATTCTCGCGCCATTTCCACCGCTTGTATCCACTTTTAATGAGGGAGCCACGCGGCTGGCGCGCGCCAAAACTAATCATTATCCGATTCCTCCGGGGCTTTTTGAACAAGTGTGATGTTGACCCGGGGTCCGGTTACGTGGGAACTGCGGGTTTGATTACATTAGATAATGATGATACACGACGGGGAGGACAGTGTGGGCGAGGGATTATGGTAAATCGGCGTCTAGAGGAAAATAACATACAAGTGGGTTGATTAGTGGAAATATTAGTCTTTTAGAAGGACATCGTAAATTGTATAAGGAAAATATAGCTTCTGGCTTTGTGTAGACTATCAATGGAAATATAATATGGTATCTGACGTAAAAAATCACATTTTACACTCAAACACAAATTATATTGAAGTGCAAACATAGAGGCTAAAATTGAACTGAATTTTAACATAAACATATCGATTTTCCATGTGAGATTAGAAAACGTCACAGTAGTGATCATAATCTATTTGCCAATAATATCTCTATTATAATTAATTATAAGTGTATCTGATCATTCAAAAGGTTGAAACTATCCATCAACGTCAAACTAAAGCATTTATTCTAGCTAGTATAGAACCATAAAGTCAATGATAGAACCCCCAAGCCACCAATCTTTGAACACACTACACAATTCATCAATACAGAGTCACTGTTACAAGCTACAACCTCTTTACAGTTGTTACAATCCATTAAACGTCGCTCAGTTTACCCAGGCTCAATTTAACGAATCAATCTAACAATCGATTACCAAACAAGACCAACACCGATGATTACTGATGGGTTCACGTTCAGTTGCACCTGATTGCCATCAATAACCGAACTAACTGTAATTAGACACTAATTAATGACACCTTGTCTCCTAGACTAATGACCATGCTAATCACTTACCCAATAGTCAGTGTCCCCACCCTGCGTGGGCTACATGCCACGCTAAGTAGAGCCACTTACCGGGACGTTAGTGTTGTGTTGTGTGTAATTAAGTGTATAAATTATTGTTTGGGGTAATTTTTTCTATCAAGCTTAATATTTATACTTAAGAAATTTGGTTTTATAAAAATATAATGGAGTTTTAAGAAAACTCTACATAATATATGGAAATTATTATTTGTTTATTATCTCAAGAAGAATAGTTGTAGGCCTAATTTGCTTGCACTTACTGTGCGGAAACGCTTATGATAATACAAGAAACCCAATCTACTTGATTTCGATGAAAATAAAGGTTATACTATAACAATTTGTCAAGACGTGTGTACAATATAAATTTATGAATTTATTTTAATTTATGATATCTATTTAGATGTTCCAAAATCGATTATTTCCAACATATCTGTGTAATTAAATAAAATTAATGTTGTGTACATAACAATTATTATGTTTGGCTGTAAATAAAAAAACACAAAACGATAAATAATGTGATATAGGTACCTAAACATGTATACTGCTCTTAACAAAATTGAGTTTAAATACAAGAAAAGCGATATATTCCACAAGTACAGTAGAAATTGCTGTTATGTCTCTTTCAGAGGAGTCTACTTCCAAAAAGACATTGCTATAAAAATCGACAAAATGCTATAATTCAAAGTTCGATTTTGTCATCCACTATCCTAAAAAAAATAAACTATAACTTTAGGAATACACATCATGGAAACTATGTTCCTACAAAATTCGTCAAATCAGTGGTATTCTCAATTTTAAATATAGTTTTGAAAGTGTTTACTGAACAATGGTTAAAGGTGAATTTCATGAGACATCTGCTGCTCTCTATTGTAAGATGCTGCAGGCAAGGCACGTGATAATTTAATGAGACTGCGAGTATCAAGACGTCGCATCTCATGGAGAGCCAATCAATCTCGTTCTAATCTCATTGCAAACCCAACCCCGTACCCCACCATGGACACGTGGTCTATTGAAGAAATAAAGAAATAACTGAGTGGAATCTGGATTCTTGGTTGAAATCCACAAATTTGAAAAAGTGCATTAACGAATTGCAAGTCAGAATTAACAATTAAGGAGTCTCATAAAATATTTCTAACCAATATTATTGCTCGTACAACGAAAATTAAAATTTTTAGTAGAATTGTCCCACAAATTTATGGATATTTCATCGTTGATGCAAAACATTAGGACAGTAGGAGCTACCAACATGAGTAATATTTATCAGGGGTGTATTTAAGTAAGAAAAGAGTAAGGTGGTTGTGTTATGATTGGTTTTCTAATGTTTCTGATGACATATTCTTGATATTTTACATAAGAACGGTAAAGGGTCGCCGGATTTCTACCTCCGGATATTTACCCCCATGAAAAAACGCCTACGTCATTTTGACGTCACGAGGGGCGGGGCTTATACACGTTCGAGAAACAGCCCGCGACTGGAAATCTACCCCCGGACATCTACCCCCGGACATCTACCCCCAGACATCTACCCCCGGACATCTACCCCCGGAAATCTACCCCCAGTGGTCAGCTCTGCCACGTATCGGCCAATATTCATTGTTGTAATTGATTTTATTAATTATTTTATGTAAATCAACGTCTCTTCGGTTAATCATTACCCTCTAATATCTAGTATTAAGCATGTGATATGTCATTGCCTTGTTTAACATTATCTATCTTCCTAATAAAATAAGTTGTAACAGCCCTTTTTCACCCGAACTACTTCACTGATATTTATGATTGAGGTCTAATTTTAAATCTTAAGATCCAGCTCAACGCAAAATGGTATTTAAAACCATATGTTGATAAAGGGCTTCAAAAGTGTGACCCTTAAGCATTTGATTCATTTCCAGACAGTGATTTAAATGGTTGACAAACTTTCACATACAGTAACAGCTAACGGCGCATGCACGAGCGCGGATCGGAAGTGTTTATCACAAAAGATTGACCAATACGATTTTAACACTATTTAAAGGTTCTTCCAAAAGAAGAGAAACCGGTTAACATTGTAATAATAACTCTTATGACGTACGGTATGGGAAATATTTTATTCATTGAATGATCAACCATATTTTGTAACTAACGCAATAGTCATTATTGCTTTTACACTTATTACTCATCAAAAAAGCTAAAGAGCTAAATGCTCAAAATTTGTATTACTTCAATCTATTAATCGCAGTTATATGAATTAGCATAAGCCTTGAAAGTAACCGTCAGTATCGACGGGTTTAACCTAATTATGTTCTGTATACTACCTTAAAATGCCTCATTTTAACATTTTACTGGCAGGAAACCTGCTTATTCACTTCCTATATGGTATTCTTATGAATGAATCTTTTGAAAACTTATTTATGGACATAAGTTGACAAGTTTTGTTTTAAGGCAGGATTTTCCAATAAGACTTTATACATGCTCTGAATATGCGAATGTGCTGCAATGGGGGTATTTAGGCGTATATATATATTAAAAGATGTTCTTCCATCAGGTTAGGCTATGCTTAAAAATTGAATGTGGCCATTATTTTGAATTTGAATGATTGTCTTATTTTAGGTCTTTAAGAGAAAATACTTTAAAATCCTTTCTTAGTACGCATCTAAAATCTTAGAAACTACTAGGTGATATGAAAAATTTACGATTATACACCTGACTTTTTATTGATCCTCTTTCTCAATTTAACAGTTTACAACTGAATTGTCTTATTTTAGGTATTTAAGAGAAAATACTTTAAATCCTTTCTTAGTACGCATTTAAATCCTAGAAACTAATTTTTTTTACTAGGTGATATGAAAAATATACCATTATACACCTGACTTTTATTGATCCTCTTTCTCAATTTAACAGTTTACAACTGAGTTTTGGTTTACTAAACAATTATTCCTACTAGGCCTACATTGAATAAACCGGAAGTTCACCACAGTTTATTCACTTTATCCTTTAAGAAATGTGTGTAAAAACAATGGTTCAGTACGATGTAACACTTGACTATGTGAAAAGTGCGCAATATTATATTATTTTCATAACTTTTTCACCTCCTGTTTACAGTTGCAGACGATCATTCATGTTTTCACAACCTGACTTAAAAATTGATCTGATGAGTACTCCTCACATTTCACTTTTAAACTGTTACTGTATAGAGTAAAAGTTGGTC